ACACACACACACACACACACACACACACACACACACACACACACACACACACACACACACACACACACACACACACACACATTTTGTTTATATTAGCCGCTAGACTTCACCAAGCAGAGCTCAATCAGTCGCTCCGTCGCAGAAAGGTGACGCAGAGTCACAGCTTTCCTTAAAATTCTGTATAACGTTGATACGAAGAGATGAAGGCGTACGGAAAGTAAAAGCAGTTAACTAGCGGAGGGAAGAATATTTTCGACCTGCTTACTGCGTCACACAAGTTAGCCCACTCTACTTTTGTCGCGAAGCGTTTCTAAGCAAACTATAGGCCCTTTGAGCGTTTTAATGCGTCCGTCCGTCCATTCACCATCCGTCCATCCATCCATTCATCCCAGCCCATCCCATTCCATTCCATTCCATCCATCTATCCATCCACCCATACATCATATGGGAAGAATGAAAATCTGGATCCTAGCAAGAATCGAACCTAACCGTTCTGCGTGGTAGTCAGGTATGTTACCACAGAGCTGCGGAGAAACGCCCTGTGCAGGCGTGATGTCGGGGCAACGTCCATTGTTGTTGCAGTGCTGGTTATCTAATTTTATAACAAAGCAATAAACACTACATATGAATTAAGATACAGGCGTCATGTCGGATTAATGCCAATTGCAGATCCAGTGCTAGATACGCTTTTATAGCAAACTAATAAACATATTTGTAATTCTACGATTTAGCATGCTATGTTCAAGCGCCGCTCCGCCTTGGAAGAATGCGCTAACGAACGTTACGTATGATATTCCCATCACAGCACCGCTAAGTGAAGACGCCTGTGCTCTAACGTGAGAGTTGACGTTTCGTCAGACCAACAGTTACACTTTACGGCAGCGTAGGCATTATTCCTAATAAGCCCACGATGTGCACGCAACTGCGACACTTACAAAAGCACGTCAATCTACCTCGTAAAGCAAAAAATAAAAAAAAAAACATGCAGCATTGGCAATCACTCACCGACTGCTATGCGTGAAACTAGTTCCCATAATACGTTGTATCTACCAATTTTTTTTAGCTGCGTCAGGGTATAACTTTCTCTAAATACAAGTTATGTCGATAAAAATTCAAACATAAAGTATACCACCATATGGGGGAAATAGATCAGGAACCACAAGCTTCGACTGAAGGATGGCTTGGCTGATTACAACAGAAGGCTTCGGGTTTCGCAATGCTTTTAAACACGTATCAAGCTTTTGTCAATGTAAGCACACTCACTGCGCGTATGTATGTCCTTTGCTGACTGCAGCGTGACTATTAGATGTCCGAGTGCATCTACAATGCCCCAAAATGTGTGGTATACATTCTAGTACCAAGAGTCCAGCGAGTGAAACGCGAGTCTAAATCATTGCTCCGGGGTGCTAGCGTTATCTTTTATTTGCGTGATTTTGTAAGGTGACCTGTGGTTCGCGTTCACAAATCTTGGGTGTGTGAAACCAAGAGCTACTTATTAGTTAGCTAACGCTGAAACTCCGTGCTGTTGAGTTCCCGTGCGCCGAAATTCCTGACGGGCATCCATGTCTGTAGTGTACGCTTTATTCACATGAACCCATATTCAAAAAGACATTTTGCGCAACAGAATATTCCCAATAATCGTGCTGCTCTATGGACATGCATTTGGCGTATCTAGTTGGCAAATGAAAAAAAAAAAACCTTCGGGGGAATAAAAGTTCCTTCACAAACTCGAGCCCTGAAACAGAAGCCCGCCACTTTATCATACCGCGAAATTTCCCTCTACCGCCTACAACTCTGTCCAGCCCAATTGCACTGGCCACTGGCCCACTACACGCTTAATCAGGTCCTGGTTAAATGCCGGCTATATCCAGAAAACTAGACGAAAACTCTCCTGTTTCCTGGTTACACGTAGCACTTAAAGTGGGATCAGACTAAAAGTGTAAGCGATTATTAGACCAGCCGAGTCGAATGCCGTGCGTTTGAGCCCTGGCTGCAGCGGGTCGAGTGAAGATGTGGCACAAAAAAAAAAAAAAGTTGCGCTAGGATGTTACTCCATGCGCACGTTAGTCCTCCCCAGACGAACAAATTTGATACGTGGCCCTGCACGCCTACATAGATTTAAACTGTTTATAGTACATCGTTATCAACAATGTCACAGCCGCTTCCAGGTAAGTGTTGTGCGTACGCCAGCCACGCCGTGCCGCCGACGCAATGATTGCTTCGGGTAGGGGTGGTAATAATAAATAGTTTATTGATGGCTGCACCAAAGAGTTTCATATATGCACAGCATTATCGCTCCACCGCTAAGCGAAGCGACTGCGGTGTTGCCTAACAAGGCAACGACGCACCGTAACTCGGCGCAAAAGGCGCCACACGTGGTATACAGCGCGAGGACGCACTTCCTGTATCGAACGCGCTCAATGCTGGTTCGCACGCGATAGCTAACGCAACATCCAAGGCAGCATCCTCGCTGACAGCGCTCGCTTTCCCGTCAAAGCATTCAGCGAGCCACTTTCCTCGTTTCACAAAGCCGTTCGAAGCTGTCTGACCTCAATCACGGCGCTGGTGCGCACAAGCGGCATGCTTTTACAGGATAGGATAAACACTGCACTCTATACTGCAGTATCCAAAAGACGAGGCCCGTTTCCCGCGCGGAGGAAGCGACGTATTATAATGCTAAATACGGTTGCCCGCGAGAGCGCACGCTTGTGATCCAATTTGGCCGCCTCGATTTAGGCGGGCCCGAGCACGCCCTCAAAGCTATAGCCATGCTTGGGCAGCATCACGCTTTTCAATGGCTTAATAAGTGCTGCAATGCCACGATGCAGGCTCAACTGAGAAAAACCAACTACAGAGGAGCACTGAAGCCACGTGAAACTCGAGCTCTAGATTCGGACCTCTCAAAGTACACCACTAATCGCTGCAGTATCGCCGCCGCGAAACGCGTCACGGAGCCACGCGAAGGGCTCACAATTACGGCGCCGGCTAATGACCACACGAGGGAATAAATGAACGCACTTCGGAAAGACAAAGCCAAACAAGGCGCTAAGAGTCTCGCAGCGTAAATCAAAGAAGCCGAGCTCCCTCAATTAGCCGCCCCAAAGCATGCGTGCAGGTATATACGCACTCAGTCGGGAAAGGTCAAGGTGAAGAAGGGAAGGCTTGTCGACCCGGCGTTCATGAACAATGGCGGAGTCAAAGTTTTCGAGAAGCTTAATTAACGTCGGCACAGGATCAGAAACCGTTCTGGAACGTCGTCGTTATATTGGGACGCGCGGCACGCGGCCAAGTACGGATCGTGGGGAAGTTCCCACTGAGTGACCGGCAGTCTCTCAGTTCTGCGTGACCGCCCGCGGTTAGCCTCGGTTGCCGAGGGCAGTTTCCCATCACATAAATACACTGAGGCGATCGCGTGAACCAAGGGAACTGAACCAGCGTGGTCGCTGTTGTTGTTGGTCACCCAATTTAAAAGTGGTAAGTAGCGGCTAAGTAATAGGAGCTTTAAGTAGCACAAGTGAGTGCGTTCGAAATTCAGCCGCTTCTTCGAGGAGTGCAGGAGGTCAGGGTTTGAATAGAACAGTCGCCTTGAACAACGTCCAATACAAACAGCACCTAGCAGCGAGTCTAAACGAGCAGTGCCCTTGCTTTGGCGTAAGCAGGCCCAACCTAATGAATGAATGAACAATAAAGAGAGAAGTGCAAAAATAGAGCAACCATTCTTTTACCGAAGCTCGCGTCTTACGCCACATGATATACGATAAGTTCTGTTACGCTCTTGGCCCAGCCACATACGAATGTGGTTTTGCAGTGACTCTTCCGGGCCCTAATATAATGAGTGCTCATAATATTTGCTGAAATCGCTAAAATTTTGTTTTACAAATATTGTAAAAAAATAAAAATTCTTTTTTATTTCAGTAGGCCAACGATCAAGTCAAGCGCTCAAAGTCATTGACTGTAGACACTTCGGCGAAGCGTCAACAAACGTAGCGTAGTACACAGTTCATGCTACGCGAATAGCCGCGCGTATTACAAACGTTCATAGAAACATTCCACAAACGTGTAGCACGAAGCGCTTGAAAAAGCAATGAACGCGCTGTACAGGAACGCAGCTGAGAAACACTTGTTAAATACATCCAACAGAATGAATTTGTGGGGGTCATGTCGACAACCAGCAGTGGCAACAGCGTGGGACGCGTGTGAAATGTACAGAGGGTTTGAACGTTCAATCGATATGTAATATGTGTGAATGAGAGAGCAACCGAGATAGTATTCTGGGTGAATCCCCAAAAGCATACCGTGCATAGGCGTGCACGTACATGGAAGGCCCCGTTTGCTAAGTTCGTTCACAATGCAACGTTGTGTAGTGTCATTATACACTGAGAGTGTCTACACACAATTACCCCACGCCCATTTTCGAGTAATTGTTAGAAAAAAGCCAGCAGCTTCTGCACTTCAGTAATATAGGTGCGAACTAACTAGAATAGTGCCTCGAACAGCACTAAGCATGCGCGTCTCCCATTTACTACTGATTTACTCCAAAGCTGGCTTCTCCACAATGACAGTCTTTCTGGGGAGAAACCCGCTTTGGTGAATACGTTCGCCATGCATAGTTTTTCTAAGTGCGTGCGTGCGTGCGTGCGTGTGTGTGTGTGTGTGTGTGTGTGTGTGTGTGTGTGTGTGTGTGTGTGTGTGTTATTTTAGGCAACTTTGTGGCTACAGAGGCCTAAGCACTTCTGTTGCCACACAGTCAAGACTTGCGACAATGGTGTGGAACGGGCGAGGTCAGAAGCTCGTTCTCACCATCGACGCATTACCCGAGTTCATTGTCTCAGCTCTTTTGCGGTACTTGCGCAAGACTATTTACGAAAAATTGCTGCACTCAGGAGCATGCAGCTGTGCAATGAACTTGTCGCGAAAACCACTCGGTGCATTGTTGGCTACCATGGCTAAACCACGTCAACGTCATCATACTGTGCAAAAGCTCACGTAGTAGCACTTACCTTCAGCAGGGCAGCGTATGGGTGCGTGTCCGGCTGCTGAGTGACAGCGGCGGCGCTGGTCTGCGTAGCACGCGAGTGGAATCGCGCGTAGTCTGGGTCACTCCACTCGAGTGGCGGGAACTGAGCTGAGAAACTGGACAGCTGCTTCTTGCACTCGCCGGAGGAACGCTTCTCAGACCGGCTGCGCCGGAACCAGCGGCTGAACATGGATGACTTGCCGTCACCTGCACGCAAAGACCGCAAAATCAGTCTCACTTGGTAATTCCAGCGTCATTAGCATACCTCTCTCTCTCTCTCTATCTCTCTCTCTCTCTCTCTCTCTCTCACACACACACACACACACACGCACACACACACACACACACACACACACGCCCGCACCACACACACACACACACACACACACACACAACCACACACACACACACACACACACACACACACACCACACACACACACACACCACATGGCACCGCATCCGCCATTTGCGGCGCCGTCCGGCAGCAGCAAGACCATACAGTACTTATCAGAACAAGGGAGACATGCGTAGAAGACTGGCTTTCCACCTATGAGCGTGTCTTTGGTCAGAAGTCAGATGGAACAGATTCAATAACTTTAAGTTCTTCCAGGCGTTTCACCAGTTTATTCCAGAAATAAGTTGAATGATGTGATGAAACTATGTACCGTCATCTTCTACCTTGCTGGAGTTGCAAATATCTGGTTGTGCAAACATGAGTGAAAGCTACAAACCTGACGCAGTTTCAAGGTGGCATTCGCGGAAGTTCTCGAGCACCCCAAACACCCCGCTGATCAGCGCCTATACGCAAGCGCACTCAGCATCCCAGTGGGAGGCATGCAAGCTACACAGAGGACGTCGTGGATGTTTGCGCCCTCGTCAATTCCTCTATGAGCGAAGAGGACAAGGTGAAGCATAGAGATCGAGGTCAACGCATTTTAAATGCTTCTTGCACGAAAACCTACTTTTGTTGTGCCGTCGTCACTCTCTGCCAGAGCTTCGACGATACGTCGACAAGGGGTAGCTCTCTCCGGACCTCATACATGCCTGGAAACTCAGATCGGATATATTGTTCCAGGGCCTGATTGAAGACTTCGTTCGCGAGGAGTTGGAGCGCGAACTGTTAGTGATGTCGCTGACCAATCTGTCTCTAGAGCCTAAATCTTTGGCTGTTCCCATCAGGCGAGCGAATCGCGATGAACTTGCCTATATAGTTGCTACCTTTCACCCAGTTGAGTGCAGCCGTGGCTGCAGTTCTGACCTATGCCATAGTCGCAGTGTGACCTGGATGGCCCTTATTCGCAATACGTGGCCACAAGCAACCCAATCTTCCACGTCAACTAGAGTTCCACTTCCTAGCCGAGTCTTTCGGAACCCGTAGCTCACACGCGACAACGGGACCATATGCGCTTCGCTTCTGGTTCCGCCGGCCATATCGCGCGCTTCTGCAGCTGTTGCATGACTAATAATAACAGAGTTGCAGCAACGCCTGATACGTACGGCTGTTCACAATATGTTATCTGTAATATCATGCGTCCTAACCCTGATTTTTTGCCGCCATCTCGACAGTCTTTCGACAACGACCGTTCACCGTCACCAAGTCGTCGCTCGCGTTCCCCCTTACGTCATCGCCACTCGCTTAGCGATTGAAAGAAGCTGCCGCACTTCTACAGGAAAGTACTGCAAAGCTTCACGACTTCTAGAAATCCTGCGCAATCGCCATGTAAATAATTTGGTGTTTATAAAAAAAATGCCGTACGTGCGCTTATTGATACTGGGGCTGCAATGTGAGTCAACTGCATAATGTCGCAACGCCATTCGCTGGGATGCTACTGCACCCCGCTAGTACGCAGCACATAGCACCACTTGCAGCACATTTACGGCAAGGGTGGTTTTGAAGAATTTTTCGCATTATCAACATTCTTACATAGCATCACCCTCATTTGGCACTCACCATCGATCGATTGTGCCAAAGCCGAAGTGGCGTTTTCCCACTCTCCAATACCGTGATGCCAGACCCTTCTGCAAGTATTGCTGCCCCGCTCATTGTAGTATCCAATAAGAACATTCTACCCGCAATGTCAGTGTTTGGGCGCGCATTTTGCTACGCCGTGCCAGACGCTACCGTACTTTATATGCTATCACGTATTTTCATCATCGCAAGGCTCTACCTCTCCCGTATGCCATCCTCCCCACTGCATTTGGATTGTCGGTATGACTGCATGCAGTGCGTTTCAACATGCCATGACCTATTGCACCTGTTCAACCCATTCACCCACGTCACATTCACCACGTATCATACGTACACGCTGCCTGGTGATTTTTTCCATCGTTTAAAGAAATCCCGCTCCATACAAAGTAAGGCGAAATTACTGCGTCCATGCACTACTCAGGTTACTGCACTGAGAAGAGTATAGAGTTCCGCATAAGACGGGTCAAAAGAAAAAAAATACGATGACGCACATTGCACGCTGCGTGATTCATCGAGTTCTTTTCTTATGTCCCGTCCTATGCACAACTCTACTCACCTAAATGGAGACACAACAAGCTCAAGTGGAGGGCCTTACAGAGTTACGGCGTATGCTATCTCAAGGGTGCCATATTTGCGCGTCTGTTTTCTGAACACCGCTAGAAATTATGAATAGCAGACAAGCTGATGCTCAGGCAAGTTTTTGTATGTTCCTACCCCGCCGCTGTATCAAATTAGACTTAAACTAATCATTGTCAATAAGGTACATCGCTGGTCGGTGACACGCTAGGCATGCTACCTGCCCAAACGAAGGGCGACTTCACCGCATAGCTGTGGTTGGCAGCCGGATTTACGTGTAACTCTACTACTTAATAGTATATACAGCAACTCTATGCGCTGCCGTTTTGCAGAGATCCAGACCTTGCTACGAGTGGAACAACCGTGCACGTACAGACCGCTATCCTATCGCTTATAACAGACTACGACGCTTCCTTGCCATGTGCAGTCGATCAGACGCACTGCGAAGCCGCTCCGGATGGAGCCATCGAGTTGTGAGGGAGACCCGGCGGCACCACTGGTTGGCGATCGGCTCCGCGACTGCTACAATTAAGATTCAAACGACTCAAGCGGTCTGCACTTAACTGCCGCCATAACGTCTGTTAATAAAACGAAGGCGGCTCTGCCCCTTCCCTCTGCTATAATTATTTTTATGTTTTCCGGTATAGCGCCCTCGGTGCATCAAAATGTGGAATAAACGTGATTTCAAGCCGATGCATCGAGCCGCTCATTTCGTTACGGTCCACGCACACGGTTTTTACCCTCGAAGCAAGGTTGGCAGCACTGCAATACGATTTCAACCGCGCGATTTTCTTTCATATTCAGCAGGCTTTCTTTAAACGCCGAAAAAAAAAAGCACCACGCAGCATGTCCGTTGCCACAAAAAGTCGGTCTGTAGTTTTGGAATGCCCGCTACAACGCAGCAAATCGCACTTGGCCCTGAAGTGAATATTTCAAAATTCCACGCTCGATCGTGGTTAATTGACTAACTAGGCAAAAAAAGTGATAACGAGCGTCATATGGCGGCAAACCATATGTCGTTCGCTTCATACAGTTGACTTTAACCACTTTTTTTCTTTCTTTCCAGTCCTGGGTTTTACTTACGTGAAAGACCCTGCATATAGTACTTTTTTTTTCACCAGCATATAGTGATACGTGATGGCTGGTTCTTTTAATGCTATGCCAGTAAAAGGAGCCCCATATTAACAGAATTAACGCTATGCCCGCAGACAAGACGTGAAGAGCGGGCCGCCATGATTCCTTCGGCTCTCAGGCGGTAGAGCGATAGGCGCACACGCGACGGCCGCAGCGCCTAATACTTTGGGCACACACCACGTACAGACGTACATGGCCAGACGCAGCTGGATTGTGCACACACGTCTCGTCCTCGCAAAGCGAAGGGCCATTTGGAAGTCTCGTCTTCGAAGTGCAAGCTATGCAGGGAATCACACACACAAAAAAAGAGCGGGACCTGACTCGTGTCTGTTTGCGTAACCCAGCTTTCGCTCGGGCATTGGGTTGCGATTAGCGACCTCCGTTGTTCGCGTGACGAAAAATATGCTGCCATGCACGAAGCTGTCAGGCGTGGAGGGTGACGGAAAATATTGGGGCTGCCGCATTTGTGATGTGTAGCGAATGTACATGCAACCCTTTAAGGGCATAATAACAGTAACAACTAAATGTGTTTATCACGCTATTTCTTCGAATGAACCGCAAGTTCGATATTCTGCACTACATACTCCGTAAGTGGCAGACTGAATAGCGATCAAAATAATGCCTCGATCGAGATTGCACCACGAGAATTTCGGGTATGGTATACTTGTGCTAAGCGGCAAGCAGGTCATAAAAAACTGGGAGCCGAACTTCATCTGTTAGCACACTTGGGCGCTCGGTTCACCTATGGTGCGAGCGTTCGTTCTTTCAGGCGCAGCAGAGGGTGACGCACAAAAACGTCCTTACTCCGGGACTTGGAGAGTGAGCATGTGTACTCTAAAATTCTTCGTGCACTGGAACCATCAACATCGATACTGACCTACACCCGTAAGTTCACTCAGTAGCCTCAGTTGGAAAGCTTTTACGCAACACCATTCAGTCGGTTAGAGGCTACTTAGAGGAGAACGTATGCACACGATTTGAGTACATCGCAGAAAGGACAATTTCTCGTTTCCTTGGTATGCAGTATCAACGTTCTCCATACACAAGAGTCGTACAGCACGTGTAAAATATTTCATTTTTATTTAAAAATTTTCGTCACTGAGCATCTACAAGCCAGCTCCACTGCGATTATCTCGATGAGTCAAGGCGGTTCCTAAGTTTGCGAGCACTGCGTCTTGCATGCAGCCAAAATCACAGAAGTTTCTGTCACCGGATGACAATTCACTCATCGTCATTTACGTGCACCAAAAACAGGTGGCAGAGTTGCCGTTAGTAATACATCACTGGTTGCCATGTTCGCGTGACGTGACACTGCTCTGACACGTCACTGCGAAGCCGCCCACTTAAAACCAAAAGCGAAATTGCTGTATTGTGGTAGCGGTATTTTAAATATATACTCAATGCATTCCCATGCACTGCGATGCTGTTCTTTGCTTTCTCGGCACCTGACCTTTCAGTTAGAGCAACGATCATTTTTTTTTTTTAAATTCGTGTCACTACTTCTTCTGACGCCGGGA